ATATTTTTTAATTCACAGTTTGAGAAGCAGGCTGCCTTTGGTTCAGTCAGTGTGTTTTGGGCAGCTGTGGTATGGAAAGTGAATGTAGATGTAGAGTGTACTGCCTGCTTTCATCTTGTGGTGAAGCTAAAGCTCCATCATTCTTAGCTCTGGGCCCCGAGACTCCTCTCCACATTCAGAGCCCAGAGGTTAGTCTGTGTTGTGCAGGGCTTTCCAAAGCAGAACCTTAGCTGAATCTCCAGAGACAGCCTTTGACGCCTGTCTCCAAACAGCTGAACCTTGGTTTTTGGAAGCATCGAGAGAGGAGCCAGTGTTCATGTACAAGGGAGTCTCCATGTGATTGACAGCTGATTTCTTCTCAGAAACCATGGAGGCCAGAAGGCAATGAGAAAACGTTTTAAATTTTGAATGAAAAAAATCAAGTATCCTATATTCTACAAAACTAGTCTTCAGTAATGAAGGAGAAATAGAGATATCCATATAAACAAAAGCTGAGCGGGCCTGCACTACAGGAAACACTAAAGCAAGTCCTTCAGGCTGAAGTGAAGGGATACTAGACAATAATTTGAAACCATAAATAAAAGTAACACTAGTAAATATAACCAGACTTTTATATTTTTGGTTTGGTTTGTAACGTCTGTCTTTTATGATTTAAAAGGCAGGGGCACTGAATAGTAATTTTAGATCTGTAGTGATGGGCATACAATGTATAAATCGTAATCTGTGGCAATAACAATATAGAAGGGAAGAAACAGATATATAGCAAAGTGTTTAGATACTATGGAAACTAAGCTTCTCAGGCTGGATAATTTCAGCTGTCTTATTTTCAAGGTCACTGATCTTTCTCCTGCCTGCTCACATCTGCAGAACCCCTCTTTAACAATGCTATTCGATCTGGGTTGTTGTAAGTTGTTAATAATAATTGTAATCCCTATGGTAACCAAACAGTAACTTGAAAATACAGAAAATGAAAGAAGAAGGGAGTCAAAGTGGCACATAAAAAAATTAGCCAAATACAAAAAAGGGCAGCAATTGGAGGAATTGAGGAACAAAAGTCATACAAGACATAAAATGGCACAAGTAAACCCTTCCTTATTAGTAATCACATAAAATGGGAGTGGATTTAACTCTTCTATTAAGAGAGACATTGGGGTTGCTTGGGTGGTTTGGTTAAGTGTCTGGCTCTTGATTTCAGCTCAGGTCATGAACTTACGGTTGGTGTGATCGAGCCTCGCACTGGGTTCTGCGCTGACAGTGCTGGCTGCAGAGCCTCTTTGAGATTCCACTCCTTCTCTCTCTCTGCCCCTCCCCCACTGGCACGCTTGTACATGCGCTCTCTTTCAAAAAATAAACATTAAAAAAAATAAGAGGGGCGCCTGGGGGGCTCAATCGGTTAAGCGTCTGACTTCAGCCCAGGTCATGATCTCACGGTCCGTGAGTTCGAGCCCCGCATCGGGCTCTGGGCTGATGGCTCAGAACCTGGAGCCTGCTTCCGATTCTGTGTCTCCCTCTCTCTCTGCCCCTCCCCCATTCATGCTCTGTCTGTCTCTGTCTCAAAAATAAATAAACGTTAAAAAAAAAAATGAGTAACTTAAAAAAAAAAAAATGAGAGAGAGGCACCTCGGTGGCTCAGTCGGTTAAGCGTCCAACTTTGGCTCAGGTCATGATCTCACGGTTTGTGGGTTCGAGCCCCACATTGGGCTTTGTGCTGACAGCTCAGAGCCTGGAGCCTGCTTCGGATTCTGTGTCTCCCTCTCTCTCTGCCCCTCCCCCGTTCATGCTCTCTCTTTCTCTCAAAAGTAAATAAACATAAAAAATTTTTAAAAAATAAGAGAGACATTGGCAGATTAAATTTACAAAGACTCTATATACTGTCAACAAGACACTTCAGATACATAGTACACTTGAGATGTAAGAACACAAAGAAGTTGAAAGTAAGGATGGAAAAATATATTCCATGCCAAACAGTAACAGAGAGACACCTAGAGTGGCTCTATGATTGTCAGACAACATCTAAAAGGTAACAAAATAAAGGACATTACATATTGATAAATGCTTTAGTACAGCAAGAGTGCATCACAGTTATAAACATTCACACACCTAATAACAAGGCTACAAAATAAATGAAGCAAAAACGGACAGAATTGAAATGAGAAATTGAGAAATCCACAGTTATAGTTGGATATTTCAGTTCTGTGCTGTCAGTACTAGATACAAGAAGAGACAGCAAGATAAGGAAACGGAGGACTTGAGCAACAGTGTCAACCAGCCAGACCTAACAGACATGCAGAGAACACCCAGCAACAGCAGAAGACATGTTCTCAAGTGCTCGCGGAGCAGTCTCCTGGATAGACCATCCGTTAGGCCACAGACAAGTCTTGATGAATTAAAGAAGACTGAAATCAGAATATCTTTTCCAATCGCAGGGGAATGAAACTAAACATACTAGAAGGAAAACTGGAAAATTCACAAGTAGGTGGAAGTTAAACAGGATATTCTAAAACAACCAATGAGTCAAGAAGTCAGAAGGGAAATTCAGAAAATACCTTGAGGTGAGGACAAAAACAAAGACCCGAAATACCAAATCTTTTTTTTTTTTAATTTTTATTGTTAACGTTTATTTTTGAGACAGAGAGCATGAACCGGGGAGGGTCAGAGAGAGAGGGAGACACAGAATCCGCAGCAGGCTCCAGGCTCCGAGCCGTCAGCCCAGAGCCCGACGCGGGGCTCGAACTCACGGACCGCGAAATCATGACCTGAGTTGAAGTCGGACGCTTAACCGACTAAGTCACCCATGCACCCCACGAAATACCAAATCTAATGGGATGCTGTGATAGTCGTACTACGAGGGAAATGTGTAGCTGTGAGGACGACTCAGTACTCCTGTCTAGAATATATAAAGAACTAAAAATCAATGAGGAAAAGACAGCCAACCCAATTAAACAGAAGAGGGACTTCACAAGAGGTTATGTCTGAATGGCCAGCAAGCATATGAAAGAATTTTCCACATTGCTGCACATTGAAACTGCAGGGAGATACCACTACGTCCTCTTCCACGTGGTTACATTTAATCGGCCTGACAGTGTCAAGAGGTGGCAAGGATTTGGAGCAGTTGGAACTCTTGTCACACTGCTGGTGGGAACATACGTTTGTACAGCTACTTTGGAGAATTGGTATTCTCTACAAAGCCAAACACATACACTATAAAATAACACTTCCTTCTGGGAACACACCCAACAGAAATGAGTGCTGATGGCCACCAAAAGCCATCTATGAAAATGACCGTAATAACTCTATTCTTCATAACTGAAACTGGAAACAGCCGCAGGTTCCTTGACAGTGGAATGGATAAATGCAGGGTAGTGTATAATTCAGCGGAATAGGACATACCTACGGGAAAGAATGATCTGATATGTATGGATGAATCTAGCAGATAAAATTTAGGTGAAAGCAGCCAGTCACAAAAGAGAACACCCATAGCATGGGTGATTTTATGTATAAGTCATTACAAAGGCAAAACGAGTTTATGGTGATGGAAGTTCTGATAGTAGTTTGGGGTGCTCTTCACTGGGCAAGGGCACAAAGCTGCCTTCTGAGGTCCTGGAAATGTTCTATAGCTTGATCTAGGCAGCGGTTACCCAGGTGTGTGCCTATGTAAAAGTTCATTGCACCAGATAGTTAAGGTTTGTACATGTATTGTATCAAAGTTGTAAATTAAAATTAAAAACAAAAGTTTTGTTAAAAAGTGAGACGTGACACAAAATGAAAACGTACATGAGTTTGCCAGCTTTTTGTTGTAAGGCCAGGGCTTTTCCTGTGTGAGTGGTGGGTCTAGTGTAAAATCTAGTGTAAAATACACTCTCAGTGTGTTATATACAATTTGTGTGGTCTTTTTAAATTGGAGCAGTTGCCCAGCAATGTACATCAGGATCCTTCTGGATTTTTATTTTTATTTTTATTTATTTATTTAATGTTTATTTATTCTTGAGAGAGACAGAGACAGAGTGTGAGTGGGGGAGGGTCAGAGAGAGAAGGAGACACAGAATCCGAAGCAGGCTCCAGGCTCTGAGCTGTCAGCACAGAGCCTGACACGGGGCTCAGACTCACAAACTGGTAGATCATGACCTGAGCTGAAGTCAGACGCCTAACCGACTGAGCCACCCAGGCGCCCCTCCTTCTGGATTTTTATACATTTCCCCCCCCTCCCCGGTTTCTTATTGTTGTCTTACTTTTAATTTGACAAGGTTTTTGTTTTTTTTTTATAGCATCTTTATTATGTCTCTAAAAATATTCATCCAGTCTGTTTTATCAATTGGACTTCCTTGTAAGGTTTCTGTGGCTAAAAATAAGCTTGAAAGTTTTTTTTTTAATGTTTATTTTTGAGAGAGAGAGAGACAGTTGCGAGCAGGGGAGGGGCAGAGAGAGAGGGAGACACAGAATCCGAAGCAGGCTCCAAGCTGTCAGCACAGAGCCCAACGTGGTGCTCAAACCCATGAACTGTAAGATCATGACCTGAGCCGAAGTTGGATGCCTAACTGAGCCATCCACGCATCCTGTTTTTTTTTGGAAAAGTTCTTTTTTCTTTTTTTTTTTTTTTTAAGTTTGAGAGAGAAAATGGGCACATGTGTGCAAGTGGGGAGGGGCAGAGAGAGGAGAGAGAGGATGAATCCCAAGCAGGCTCCATCCTGTCAGCTCTGAGCCCAACATGTGGCTCGATCTCACAAACCATAAGATCATGACCTGAGCTGAAACCAAGAGTTGGACACTTAACTGGCTGAGCCATCCAGGTGCTCTGAGCTTGAAAAATTCTGATATTCTGATCTGGGTGTCTTCTGAGTGTCTTTCTAGTTCCGAAGTTTTATGACTCCGATACTGTGCACACACATACAGTCCCAGCAGGGAGAATGCAGTGCGGCTGTGCTGGCCCCTGTGTCACTCATTTCGGCGCAGATTGTGCTCCTGCCGTGTCCTAACCCTTCTCTCTTTCTTGTTCGTCCCAGCTGCCCACTGCTGAAACTGCCCCTACCAGGGACAGGACCGGTGGAGTTCACCACTCCTGTGAAGGACTACTCGCCCCCACCTGTGGCCTCTGACCACAAACCAGGGGAGCCCAGTGAGCGGCCAGAGTGGGTAGGTGCTCAGTGTGTGTCTGGGGAGAGCCCCGAGGGTTGGGTGGAAATTGGCCAAGGCAGGGGTTCTGGGAGTGAGAGTGAGGGTGGCCAGCTTCGGATTGGTGGGTACATGTACTTGAACAGCTTTTACAAAGGCACCACAAATACTTCATTACACAGTTAATGAATAACCTTTTTTGAAAGGAAACGCCAAGTGACACAAAAATGTGACTGTCCTCAACAGCCAGGTGGGATCTGTGGTGGTTGTAGCTATGGCCAGATGGGTCTGGAGTCCTACCTGGACTGCTCATATACCATACCCGGGCCCAAGCAGTGCTCTGGCAAGCAGGCCATCTCCTCCTTGTCCCAAGTGGTCATGAGAGCCATGGAGCATCCTTAGAGAATTTTCTGTGATCAGGGTCTCATATATCAGTGTGCACATCATGTTTTCAGATGTCACGTCTGATTTTCTCCTCACAATGAAGTTTGGTAAAAAGTGTTGAGTTTTTGTGTTTTGGGTTTTTTAAATCTCTTTTACAGTTAGGAAAGGGGGCCCAGGGTGATGAAGTGCCTCAGTTACCTAGTTATAGATGGGGTCAGCACTGGATCAGAACTCCAGGACTCCTGACCCCAGGTCCCTGCTTGTTCTGGGCCATAGTATTCTCAGTTGATTGCCTCTGAGTTGAGCACTGATGTAGCCGAGGACGTAACGGTTGCTCTAGCTGAGGGTCTCAGGTAGAGGACTTAACCCGCTGTGACGCTGGACTCGTTATTTGGAAATCTTACAAGCTCGATTAGCCCAGATCGAAAGCTTTTACCTGCCAGGTAGTAGATGAAGTGTCCTTCCTTCATACATTGTGCTTTGGTCCCATGGATTTGTGCTGGACTGAGTGTATTGTTGAGGAGGAAAACCAAAGCCTGGGGAACAGAGCTCTTCCTTTTCCGCCCTGTCTCTGACAATGATGATACATTCCTCTCTGTCCTTTATAGGTAATATAGCAGTCAGGTAACTTGTTGTAAACTTGCCCCTACTGTTGCTGAAATAGAGACATAGCTGGTAAGATAGGTGTGTGTTAAGCCATATATTAATCTGGCTTAATGGGACTCTGTCCATGAAGGTCAGAGGGAGCATGGTGTGGTGCTGGCAGAAACTGGTTCTGTAACTTCATGTACCAGCTTGACCATTGGCTCACTATGGGACCTTCTTGGTTCAGACCTTTTACCTTCATTAATCTCTTGAAGCAGTTGTACCACATTGTGGAACTGATGGTTTGTGGTCACAACAGGGGAGTCTGTGTTTGTGGATGTTTCATGACTAGAAGAGTTCGGTTGGCCTGATAATACATGGTAGGTATTTAATGGTACAGCTGTTGGGGAGGTGACTTGTTTGTGAGCTCTTTGAACTTCCTTAATGCCCTTCATTGGTCTGGGATGATGATAGTAAGTAGGTGTACAAATAACTTCAGGGCTCAGCAGTCAGAAGATTGGCTGTTTTCTCTCTCTTTGGAGCCCCCACCCCTTGAAGGATTGAGAAGGACCCAGGCCTCAGTGCAGTCACCTAGTGTTTTGCAAGTCAGGGGTCAGTTCTGTTACCTCCACTGACCATCCATGATAAAAATTCAGGCCAGCAATATAGGAGCAGTAAGGACTAATTTAGTTATAAGGAACAGAAAACTCAGCTCAAACCAGAGTAATCAAAAGGAATTTTTAGAGTCCTAGAACTCAAGAACACTATGGTTTGGGCCTCAAAAGGAGTTCACCTCTCGGCTCTTTTGGCTCCACTCTTGATCTGCTTAAAAGCTCCAGCAGCTTGAGCCTTATGTTCTTGCAATATCTAATCCAGTGCAGGACGAGAAGGTGCCAGGTTGTATCTAAGTGAGGTAGCTTGCCTGTCCCCAACCCAAATCCTGTGATGAAGGTGGTGCTTTGTTGACTGGCTTCATCAGCTAGTTGTCACCATCACTAGGCTTAGAACAAGAGAGGACCATTTCCAAAGGAAAATCAGGAGGCTCGGGCACTGGGCACAACAATGCAAGCACCTGCTGCCCACTAAGGAACCAGAACATCCTTCATTCCTCCATTCATTCCTGTATTCAGCATATGTTTACATTCTGCAGTGTACCCAGCAGGATGATCTAGGGGACACGTAGAGCCTCACAGCTTCTGGGGAGATCTGTCTGGTTAGAAAGAGAAGACAAAGATGTCAGTTCAAAATAAATATATGTCAAAGGGACACAGGAGCCAACTGAAAGAGTTCCCAATGGCCAGTGCTGGAAAACAAAAGATATTTTGCAATAAAATAAAGTAGTATTGGATTATAACCCAGAGTATAAAATATCTTGAGTTCATGTGATTAAGTAAATGGGGGAAAATAGATAAATCCAGGCAAAAATTCTAAATAATTTATGTAAATACTCTCCCTCAAGGGATTAGAATATAACTTCTCTTCCTTAAGCATGGACTATGCGTAGTGACTTCCTTCCAAAGAATACTATATGGAGAGAGGGAGCAAAGAATCACTTTACAGTGGAGAACCAGACAGTTACCTCCCCAGCAAGGAGGTCAGGGTCAATGTCAGCAGTGATAGATCAGGCTGATAGTACATACCCTTGATGTGTGACAGGTGAGGCACTCTACCTCTGGTCTTTCTCCCAGAAACCCATAACCCCAGCCTAATTATGGGAAGTTGGATGAATCCCACTTGAGGGACTTTTTATACAGTACCTGACCACTACTCCTTAAAATTGTCAAGGTTATCAAAAACAAAGAAATTCTGAGAAACTGTCACTAAGGAAAACTAAGGAAACCAAATTTTCTTAGTTTTTACCTAATGTCCTTTTTCTGTCCCAAGATTCCATTTAGGGCACCACATTAAATTTAGTGGTTACTTTCCCTGTGGCCTCCCTTGGCTACAACAGTTTTGCAGACGTCCCTTATCTTTGATGACCTTGACAGTTTGGAGTGGCGGCCAGGTATTTTGTAGAGTGCTCCTCCAGTGGGATTTGTCTGTTTTTTTCTAGATTAGACTGGGGTATGGGTTTGGGGAAGACCGCGGAGGAGAAATGCCATTCTTTCCACATCCGTCAGCCTCTTAAGTTATTTTTTACATTCCCAAACATTAAAGTTCAGTCTTCAGGCCATAAAACTCTTGGCACAAAATTTTTAAAAAGCTTTCTAATGGATGTATAGAGTAATCTCGCTATGGTTTTAATTTGCGTTTCCCAGATGACTAATGTCGTGTTTATTGTATTTGCATATCTTTCTTTGGTGTTTTTAGGTGTTGCCCATTTTGAATGAAGTTGTTTGGATTTCTTTTTATTGAATTGTAAGTCTTTCCATATGCTGGAGGTGGCTTTCTGTACAGTCGTCTTTCTCCCCTTTAGCTGTAGTGGCCCCATAGTGTGATGACAGCTGCAGTGTTCATTTTTGCTTTTGTGTGTCCTGCAGAGGGGACTCTGATCCACCCTGCCAGGTCCTGGTGCTCTTAGGCCCATCCTCTGTTGGAATCACTAACCAGTAGCCTTGTTGGGTTCAGAGGGACACTTCTTTCTGAAAGAGGGATGTTTCTACCAACGGAAGGGAAGAGCAAAGCAGAAATGGTAGAGACTTTCCATTTTGCACACGCGTGTGACCTTGGGCAAGTTACTTAATACCTTTGTTCCCTCGTTTCTGCATTCAGAAAATGGGGATGATAATCAAACCTACGTTAGACATTGTCAGAGGATTACATGAAGGGATGCAAAGGCTTAGTGCAGTGCCTCGCCCATCACTTGCACTTGACACATGTTTGTGGCTAGCACTGTTGTCATTGTCCTTGATCAGATCTGGCCAAAGTTCTGGAGGGTGACCAAAGTTCACATGCTTGGACTGCCCTTTGGGGCGCACCAGGCCTGCACTCCTTATCCTTTAGCCTGAGCTCAGATGCCACTGTCTCCAGGAAGCCTTCCCCAGCTCTCTTGCAGATTCGTGACCTGTCTCCCCTCTGTGCTCTGTTTCCACCCACTAGAGATCATTTTCCATTCAAACGTATATAGTCCAACATTTTAACATAGTAGATGCTCAAGAAAGTCTTCTTGTTGAATAGAGAAACAGCACGGCTTATTTAGCAGACTAAGAGTGTAAAGTGAGGCATTTTTCTTGGAGCATGATAGTTGATAAGGTGGGACCAAGTTGAACCCCAGGTTGTGGGGTTTCAACTTTAATTGGGCAGTGGGAAGCCAGTCCCCCAGAAGCATCAGCTTGAGGAAAGTGGCGATAAGAAGATCAGTTGTATTGAACTTGGAGAAACTTAGAGACAGAGGTGACCATGCTTAGGGAAAGGGTCGGGGTGTGCAAGGGATGGAGAGATAGATCCTCAGGAGATGCCAAATCCAATTATAATAGTTTTAAGCCATGATAATGTGACTACATATAAGTGACCTGTTTTTGGCCACTTTGCCAGATGGTTATGTGTGTTGTTTTGTTTGGTCTTCGCAGTGATGAGGTGAGGTCTGGGACTCCATCCCTGTTCCCTAGTAAGAGACTGGGGCTTAGAGAATGTAGACACCATTGTCCAAGGTGCACAGCCAGGGCTGACACTGGAAGTTGAACCCAGGTGGGTCCCCTGAGACCGCCATTCCCACCACACCACACCCGCTTACCTGCCCAGGGCTGGAGGACAGATCAGCAGCCACGTTTTCCAGAAGAGCTGAGTTAACAGGAGTCCTCTGTCATGTTCTGAAGAGAGCTTCTGGGTGTGTCAGTGTGAAGGTAAACTCCCTGGAGTTTGCTCTGTCTGCATGTAAAGGAAGGACTGTGTTTTAAACAAAACAAGCCTGAGGTCTCTTGCACTGGCCTGGCTCTCCCAGACCAGGTCATCATGAAACCTGAACTTCACACTAAGCCCTACCTGGCAGGCCGCAGAGCTGGTTAGGCTACCAGGGGCAGCATTGCAATGTTTGTGGTGGCTGGCTGAGCCTGGACACAGGAATTCCAAGGAGCCCTGGTCAGGGGCCTCATACTGTCAGTGCTGGTGGCCAGAGACCCCAGGGATCCCTAGGACCTCAGCTCCCCTCCTACACTGCTCATGTTGGGCCTTCCCATCTGTTTCCTGCAGGAACTCTCATGGTTCCCAACCACCCAGGCATGCTGGCTGTTGAGAAACAACAGGATTGAGAATTGGGCAGCCCTGGCTTTAATCCTGGCTCGACTGTCTGTCAGCTGTGTCCTTGGACACATCCTGTTGTCTCTCTGGGCCTTGGTTTTTTTATCTGGGTCCCATAGCTCCCGGTCTCCCAAGGCTGAACTCAAGGTGGCAGCCAAGGCTGCACTCTTCTCCAAGCCCGGTGTGGGGACACCTGACTTGCAGGCTCTCTCAGCACCCACCTGGCAACAGGCTCCTTGCAGGCTGTTGAGCTGAGGGTCTTCATTCCTCACCGGGTGTTGGCTGAGGGCCCCTTTAATTCCTTGTTTCGTGGACCTTCCAGAGCAGCTGACACATGGCTGACTTCATCAGAGTGGTGGTTCCAAAAGAGGGGGGCAGAGGAAGAATCATAGTCCTTTTTCCTTCCAATTTTTATTTTTGTGTGTGGCAAAATACAACATAAAATTTATCATCTAAACCCTTTTTAAGTGTATAGTGCACTGGTATTAAATACATTCATGTTGTGCAACCATCCATCTCTATAACTTTTCGTCTTGTAAAACAGAAACTTTGTACCCATTAATACCCCTGCCACCTGCCATTCTTTCTGTCTGTATAAATTTCACGACTTTAGGTACCTCATATAAGTAGAATTGTACAGTACTGACTGGCTAATTTCACCCAGCGTAACGTCCTCAAGAATCATAGTCTTGTGTAACCAAGTCTCAGAAGTGACACGTCATTACTTTTGTTGTAGTCTGTTTGCCAGAAGCAGGTCGCTGGGTGTAGCCCTCTCTCCAGGGGGATTGCCTGTGGGCAGGAGCACCAGGAGGTGGGGGTTACTGGAGCCGTGTTAGAAGACTACCTGCCACAGCCTCCATCTAGTGAGGAGTCCGCCCTCTTTGCCCACAGGCATCTGGATCCACTGGCCCTTATGCTTCCTCCATTGCTCACTTTGGATACCATGTGTTGTGTCTGTTTCCATGTCTGTTTCTCCCTTGAATGTCCAGTAGTGATTATGATAGGGCCTAGTGCAGTGAGTGGTGGGCCCTGCCCACATCCCGGCTACCCTTTTATTTTAGTGCCTGCCTGCCTCCTTTCCAGCCACCAGTTTCTGCATCTCATACGTCAGAGCATCTCTGGTGAAGGCCTGAGGTGCTGGAGGATTCATGCCCCCTGGGAGCAGCACTCAAGCAGTAGCTGCAGGGGTTGGTATGTAATACCTCAGCTCTCTGATCTTTCAGATGGGATGACTCAGCTAAACCCCATTACCGACAGAGGTCACTTGTCCAGGAACACCCTTTGTTGGCTGCTTTCCCTCCCTTGTTCCTGCCTTTACTCCCCTTCCTGTATTTTCTGTACCTTCCAAATAAACCACCCAGCTTAGGGTCTGCTACTGGGGATCCCAAACTGAGGTAGTGAATGACAAGAGTCAGGCGCATGCCTATTGAATAAACCACTGTAAGAGAATTTTGATGCCCATAAGAGGGGGTTGCGGGCACATATGTTGGGTGACGAGTTTGCTACGATCGTGATAAATGAGGGGACTCAAGATCTTGGAAGAGTTGGAAAAACTTGGAATAGCTGCTTGAGAAGTTCATTTGGAAGTCAGGGAGGGTGTATCAAGAGGCTGCCAGCAGAAGGAGGCCAAGGCCGGGAAGCAGGGATGTGCAGTAAGAATCACTGGTACATGGTTCTTGTTTGTTGAGGCTGGCCGCCTGAGGCGTGCAAACAAAGGAGCTGTGGATTTACCCAGCGCTGGTGGAAGGACAAAGGAGAGAGAGGTCTGGGGTGAAGGAGTTACATGTTCCTGTGAAAATCTGATGAAAGCCTGGATCCTCTCGCCTAAAACTGATGATGGTAGTAGTAATATGTACACTTCCAGGCAGAAACTTAAAAATATTTGGGAAGCAGTATGCTCCTAGAACTCCTAGAGCCATCCCTAGAGCCCAGGGAGAGGGCTCTAGTTTCTGAGATGTTCATTAGTACTTCATTGAAATGGTGGTCCGAATGGTCCTGGCTGGGGAGAAGGTGCCTGGGTGGGAAGGAGGCTGGAGAAGAAGCGGAGGGCCCAGGAGCTAGAAGGAGTTTTGCACCCAGAAACTAAGGGCTCAGTTGCACAGGCTCAGTTGCACGGTGGGCCTGAGGGTGGAGGTGGAAGTGGAAGGCAGAAGAGGTGGTATGTGCAGTCACAGCCTTGTGCCCAGTGGGAACAAACCCAGGTCTGGAGGCTTCCTGGTGTCATGCTGTCCCTGGATGATATGCTGTGTCCTTCACAGGGCTTGAGGATGATTGCCCTGGGGATGGCTCTCCTCGTAGAGCTGTTCGTCTCCAGACAGCTCCTCCCCATTCAGGCCTGTGTGAGGACTTGAGTCGATGAGCTGCTATTCAGGTCAGAGCCTGCGGCAGCGAGCTCCATCCAGGTTCCTCTGTGCCTTTAGGCAGCTTCTAGCAGCCTGAGTCCGGTGCAAATGACAAAGCAGGTGCAGCCTTCTGTCCCCAGAGCCTTTGTAAGACATGGCTTCATAAATGTAAACTTCACAAAGCCGTAAGTGGTTGCCTTGAGTTGTTCCTTTGTGTCCAGGGGCCCAGGAGGCCTTAACTTGCCATTCGTGTTCAGCATCCTGACCTTCGCCTGTGTGATAACCTGTAGTCAGGCATCATCGAGGGGCTAAGTGGCCTTTCATCTACTCCCCCACCCTGTGGAGTCCCTGATGGCGGCACAGTTGTGGGGATCGCCCTCTCAGCTCCCTCCAGCCGGCACCACAGTACGTCACGGCCGTGGACGGTGTTCCCTGCCTCCAGTTGGATGACAGTGTAACTCCAGGGCAGCCTTCCAGAGCACTGCGTTCATCTGGTCACCATCTCAGAGACACTCAGGGGCTTTTCTTTGGCAACTGGTTAGAATCCAGGCAGCTCAGTCAGGCGTCATCATAGCCACCCCTCATTTTAGCTGTGATTTGTGTTACTACCTGACAGGACTCCTTAGTGCTATCTAGACCGTCTGTGCTCTCAGTGTCCCTGGCACCCCTGAGGCCCTCACCGTCCCTCTCCTGCCAGTCCTTGCCCACCTCGTGGCTCCACTCACCTTCTCCCTTGGCTGTAATCCTGCCACGGCTAATCCAGTACCTCATTATGGGGGTGCTCCATGACCGCTCCATCACTGGGAGTTCCTGGCTTGCCTGAGACATGTCTGAACACTTTGGTTACTTAGGTGCTTGTTGTTAGCTCTTTCAGGGCAGATGGCAGGTTCTAGTGAAAAAGTGTGTGATGTCCATTGAGGAGACATGGGATTGAGACCTTGCAGCACCCTGCGGGAGTTATGAAGCCCCAGCTAGTCACCTTGCGTCTCAGAGGACTATTGTGGGGGGTTGATGAAATGATGTGCCACACTGTCTATTGCTAACATGTCCATTAGTACCTGTCTCTGCACGTGCTATTTGTATACACACGTGTGTCTGTGTGGTGTGAGATGTGTGTGCATCTTGATGCTGCAGGGTGAATGTCAGTCACCCCCCTTTCACAGTGAGGAAACTGAAATCCAGAGAAGTCAAAAATGTTTCCAGGGCCATACACTTGGAGAGCTGGGATTTAAAGTTGGGTCTTTCGGTCTTTAAAAACCACTGACCTGCAAATGGCAGGATCAGTAAGACAGGCTGCACCCTGTTGGGAGCTGATGGTCTACTGTGATTCGGCAGACGTTTTCCATAGAGGGCTAGATGATGAATGTTTGAGGCTTTGTGGGTTACACGGTCTCTGTTGTGAACACTCTCCTCTGCCATTATTGTGGGAAAGCAGTCGTGGACAGGACGGAATGGAGTGGGCCCGGTTGTGTTCCAGTAAAACTTGATTTAGAAAAGCAGGCGCTGGGCTTGATTTAGCCTGTAGCCATAGTCTGCCGACCCCTGATCTAGGGGGAAGTGTGTAGGAATGTGGTTCATAAATTGCAAAGAACCCCTTGGAGATGTCTTCACTTTTGAAGGCCCATCCTTTGGGCCCCACAGTGCTTTACCCATAGTAGATGCTCAGTAAATCCTTATTGAGTGTGGGCCCGTTTCTCCCTCATGTGCCGAGCTGACATTTTCACCCCTGCCCTGTTTCTTCTGCAGTACGTGGGTGCCCCGGTGGCCTATATCCAGCAGATATTTGTGAAGTCTTCAGTGTCTCCCTGGCACAAGAACCTCCTGGCAGTAGATGTGTTTCGTTCACCTCTGTCCCGGGCATTCCAGCTGGTGGAAGAGATCCGGAACCACGTGCTGAGAGACAGGTATCCCTGTCAGTGTCCCCAGCCTCCCTGAATCTGTTCCCTACTGAAGGTGGAGGGCATACGGTCCTCGGTGTGATTCCACTGCACCAGCCAGTGCTGCAGAAATTGCACAAGTGAGAGTGGCGGGTGAGCCACTTTCACATTGTGGCCCCATTACCCCTCGACCTACACGGATGGCACACATAGTTTCATCCGCAGGTCTCAGACAGAGTAGGTGTCCACGGGGCTGACCCTGTGATGAGCTGATGGGGAACTGCCTGCCTCGCGCCTCAGATGGCTTATTGCCCAACGGTTATGAGATGTGGATATGGTGGTGGTAGCCGAGCTGAGGAGAAGCACACTTCCCCTGGGGATCGCTTCTGAAGCCCCAGCCCGGGTGGCGCTCCCCAGCCTGTGCTGGCTTCACAGGCTGCTTCACCCGCTCCGCTGGGTTTTAGTTAGCTGAGGGCTTTGACATGCATTCTGGTGAATGAAATGAAGCCCCTAATTTTCACCCTCGCCTCTTTGCCCACTGAATTGGCTGAGGTGTCTTCATCGGTGGGAGGTTGTGCATGTTCCCAGAACTTACTTAGAGAGGCTTGGGCCCCAAATGTACTTTGGAGGTCAGTCAACCACATGGTTTGGTTGTTGGCCACCTAAAAGAACTTTCTCCTGCTGCCCTAATCCTTAGGCTCTTAGAGATACCAGGCATCTGGGAACCTGATGACAGAGGGTCCCTCTGTAAGTGCAGTGGGCTTGCCCTGTGCTCGCAGACACGACAGATGCCTTGTCCTATGTCCTGCACAGTTCCGGGACCAGGGGCCTGGAGGAGGTATGCCTGCAGGTGACCGACCTACTGCCTGGCCTCAGGAAGCTCCGGAACTTACTTCCTGAGCATGGGTGCCTGCTGCTATCCCCTGGGAACTTTTGGCAGAATGACCGGGAACGCTTCCATGCTGATCCTGACATCATCGGGACCATCCACCAGCATGAGCCCAAAACCCTACAGACCTCAGCCACGCTCAAAGGTACCCCAGGGCAGATTCCCTAGGGGCCCGCAAGGGGGCCTATTGGTCACTATGTCCTTTTTGATGGGTGCTCTGACAGATCAGGGTTACCCTATGTTTTTTAGGGTGTGGGAGGGGTCCTTGGCGGCTCTACGGCAGCTGCCTTTTTCTGTCAGTACCTCCTGGTTTCCATCTGCAGACTTGCTGTTTGGTGTTCCTGGGAAGTACAGCGGGGTGAGCCTCTACACCAGGAAGAGGATGGTCTCCTACACCATTACCCTGGTCTTCCAGCGCTACCATGCCAAGTAAGGCTGTCGGCTCGGGGCTCCTGGCTGGGAATGGTATGAAGCTTTGAGTAGTCCCTGTTCTGGTCTAGGGTGTCCAGAATGCCCCCCTGGGAACTTAGAGTTTTCAGGCCTCCTGTTGAAATGTTTCTCTCTCTTAGATTGAGGGATGCTGTCTTTTCACATTTGAGCGGGGTGACCTGACTCCTGGTTAAGAATAGGGACTAAGGCAGGGCTGGCAAATTTAGTGTCTTGATGCCTCCACTGGGCTTTCTTGAGCCTGTGGCAGGGGTCCCCAGTTGGAGACTAGTGAGCCTCATGTGGCCTCAGGCCTCCCCAGCAAAGTGCTGTAGGCAGCTCCCTAGCAAGGGAGAGAGTGCTTGAGATGCCTCCGGTTGGCTGTCCTGGTGGGTGTTTGGCATTGATAGGTTGGGAAAGGGACGTTGAGGAAGGAGCAGGGCAGGGTGGGGTGGGGGGCGCCTGAGACAACTTGAGAATTCTTCCAAGACCCCTTAGAGACTGCAAGGAAGTTCGGACACCACAGAAAAGCCCCCTCCAACATGGGGAGGAGGGAAGCCCTGATGGGCCTTCCTTTCAGGGATTGCCTTTGCCCCTGGCCCAAGAGGGCCGGTCCATCTATCCCACCTGCTCCATGACCAGGTTCCTGGGCAGCCTGCGGGCCCGTCTGATGCTCCTGCACCCTAGCCCCAACTGCACCCTTCGGGCGGAGAGCCTGGTCCACGTGCACTTCAAGGAGGAGATTGGCATCGCGGAACTCATCCCGCTTGTGACCACCTACATCATCTTGTTTGCTTACATCTACTTCTCTACGCGTAGGTCCAGAGCACAGAGGCTAGGGGCTTCCTCCAAGCTAAACGGGCATTCCAGACCGCCTGCTTCCCTGCCTCTGGAGGTGGCTTGGGGAGAGATGTCAGACATGCCCAGGGCTTCATCCCCCAGCAGAGTCTCAGGGGCTCGGGTGGGTCCATGGCTTTTCTGGATTCTCAGGAAAAGATCTTTCCTGGGTTAGGGTTCCCAAAAGACACACTCTTCCTCTGAGACTGGGAAGTATGAAGTATACATGGTCATCCTTTTCTTAGGTTAAACCAGGGACCGTCCCTTCCTCAGCTGTCAGGGCACACTCTACTCCTAGGAGCTCTGCACAGAAGGGCCCTGTGAGTCTGGTTCTGGGAGAGATGCAGCCCTGATGTGCCCTCTCTGCCCTCCAGGCAAGATCGACATGGTCAAGTCCAAGTGGGGGCTGGCTCTCGCTGCCGTGGTCACAGTGCTCAGCTCGCTGCTCATGTCTGTGGGGCTCTGCACACTCTTCGGCCTGACACCGACCCTCAACGGCGGGTAGGTCCCCACTAGGCTCCGCTGAGCTTCAGGGAGTACCCTCAGGCTGGAGAGCCCCTGGGCTTGCCGTTACCCTATATCTTCACGTTGTTATTTTGATATTTAAGAGGTACACTTTTTACCTTTGAGTTACTGGGTTTATATTCATATACGTGTATATGTAGTATATCTATATATACATATATATAGGCATGTGTGTGTACATACATGTGTGTATATGTGGAATGTGTATTCGTGTATGTGTATATGTGTGTATGCATATGTATACCCTTGTATTGCATGTGTGTGTGTGTATATAGGTGTCTGTGTGTTCACATATTACATATACTCCTGCATTCTACTCCTTGATGGCTTAAGGCACACACGGGTTTCCCCCCTTTTTTTTTTTTTTTTTTTTTTTTTTTTTTACTATTAAAACATTTAAGTGACTAATAGAATAGGTCATTTCAGAGTAAGTTTTTAAAAGACCATAAGCACAGGGGCACCCAGGCGGCTCAGACAGTTGAGTGAGCGACTCTTGATTTTGGCTCAGGTCGTGATCTCATGGTTTGAACCCTGCATAAGCTCTGCACTGTCAGTGTGGGGCCTGTTTGGGATTCTCTGTCTCCCTCTCTCTCCGTTGTTCCCCTGCTTGCACTAGCATGCACTGTCTCTCTGTCTCTATCAAAAATAGATGGATAAACGTCATTTAAAAAAAAAAAAAAAGACACAAGCACACTTGAATTTGCCGCCTTTCCAATGATGTTTGCTTTCTTTTGTCCTTTATCTCCCAGTCGGCTGGAAGCCCTGTCTCCTAGGCCCCGCCCACCTGTCTGTTAGTGGTCACTGACTGGCTGTCCCCTCCCTGGCTTGTCAGGCCAGTTGCAGGAGCAGCAATGTTGTGTTCTCTGTTACTTCCCTTACTCGTAGAACACTTGCTTCCTTTCCTGAACCTGATGCTAACACCCCTCCCCCGTGGCTGGCTGCTGTGCCAGAGCCTCCTCAGAGCCCTCATTTCCACTGCCCCACAGCAGAGGTCCCATGAGGCACACACCTCAGCTGGTGCGCCCTGTTCATCTCCAGTGGTGTGAGCCTGTGGTCCCAGAGAGCTTAGTAGTCTCTCCAGACTCAGTCTCTCCAGAGCCGAGCAGGGCTTGGAGCTCCTCTCGTTCCGCTTCCACTTAGTCCCGATGGCTTGGCCTGCAGTGCTGCCGAGGGGTCCCGGCCAGCAGAGTCCTGTGTGGGAGAAGGCTGCTCCGACAGCTGGGGCCTCCTCTGGCCCTCCTTCCGCTGTGCTGCATTGTCAGAGGCAGGGATGCTTGCCGGCCTGAAAGCCGAGAACTGGGTAGGCAGAGGCCCTATGTAGCACAGCGGGGGAGTCTAGGGTTTCTGCTCTGTGCTTCTGGAAGTCACTCAGCTGCCTCTCACTACAGGCTTCAAACCCCACAGCCTTCCTGGGGCCCAAACCTGTTGAGAACCAGCCTGTGTTGGGGGCCCTCCTCAGCACTGTCCTCACCCTCTCCCTCTCTGTCCTCAGAGAGATTTTCCCCTACCTTGTGGTGGTTATTGGGTTAGAGAACGTGTTGGTGCTCACCAAGTCCGTGGTCTCGACCCCAGTGGACCTCGAGGTGAAGCTGCGCATTGCCCAAGGTAACACGGCCGGCTGTGGGGGTGCGCCAGGGCGGGCGGGCGGTCTGTGCTGGGCTTCCTCCTGCGGGGGAGATGGGGAGCCCCAGACGTCACCCTTGCTTTGCCCTCTAGTGTAATCTGGTGTGGGCCACCAGGCCTTGGCAGCTTGTTAGCGTGTGCCCTGAGGAACCAAAGAGTCGCTGGACTTTACCGTGTCCTGGTTCACATGTCAGTAAGAACACAAACTGGACTCTGCTGCGGGACTCGTGTGTTCAGTGGCCCTTTGTCCAGACTGGTACCTGGTGCTTTCTCTCCCTGCCACACTCCACCACACTAGGTCCAGGCTTCTGTGGCTGCTCACTTCAGAGACGCTGTCTCCACAACTGCCAGAAAAGGCCCCGTGGACTCAGTGCCAGGAGCTGGGGATCGGGGTTCTGAGGAAAGTGGGCAGGGAGCCTAGGCCTGAAAGTCTGAAGTGTTGCACTTCCTCCTCCGGACCCCAGGTCTGTGGGAACAAGGCCAAGGGTAGACTGTTTATTCATTCGAGGAACCTTCGTGAGCTCCTGTGAGAGGCCAGACCCTGCACTAGATGGGGAGCTCTGAGGATGTCAGGGGACATGGTGCCTTTCCCACCAGGGGCTCGCTATGGGGGAAGGGCTGGAGGAAGAACAGCTGACACTTCCATTGCTCGGGCCTCTGCCACGTGTGGGCAGGCACACTCACACCATGCCCGTGCTGACCGGACAGGACAATCCTGTGGAGGCCGGCTGTGCCAGAGTGGATGGCACTGCTCACCTTGGCACCCTGCCACTCCCTGCCTCTGTGCCCCCCCCTCGGCCCCTTCTTCATGGCGACTGTGCAGTGATGGCAGCACCTGGAGCCTGGGCCCCGGCAGCGTCCCGAGCCAGGGGCGCCGTGGTGGAGTCGCCGCCTCAGAAGGCTGGGCGCCCTCCCCGTGCCTCTCCCCTCTGAGGAGCACAAGGTTGTGCGCAGACGTGTGCTGGCCCCAAGGCCCTGTTGTTGTCCTCTGCAGGCCTAAGCAGCGAGAGCTGGTCCATCATGAAGAACATGGCCACAGAGCTGGGCATCATCCTCATTGGCTACTTCACCCTGGTGCCCGCCATCCAGGTAAGGCCCCGGGGCCCGCCACTCGGGTGAGCGCAGAAGCAGTTAACCAGTTCCCCAGATGTGCAGCTCTGTGCAGGGTGCACCCTTCTCAACACAGGCACCCTCACCTGGGAGATGGGACCTCTCTGCTGCCGGGATGGTGGTTCTGTGCACAGTGCTCCTGGCAGCCCTGGTTCAGAGGTTCTCAGCCCAGTTCCAGTCACACCTGTTTCTCTTTTCTCAGGCAGAAACATCGTGGGGTCCCTGAATCTGTGCCCTCCTCTTTCCTAGGCTTAGCCCTGACCCCCATATGTGGCCTCCAGACACATGGCCACCACCCATTGCTCAGAGTGGCTCCTCCTCTTGGCCAAGTGCCTCACTCAGCTGTGGGGCTGTGAGCAGGTGGAGGAGGACCTCCACTGGGCCAGAACCTGGACTCGATGACTGTTGCTTGAGGGGTTGACGGAAGGGAGTGATGTCCTCCCTGTCCTTCCCCAACGCTGGTGGGCCTACTGAGTTGTGGGGGTGAGCAGAGAACAGAGGGCTGCAGGCTTTTACCCAGAGGGCATCTGCAGGACATATTGCCATCTTGTGACATAGGAGCGGACTTGGCCACTGTGCCACCATGGGCTAGATCCCTCCTCTGCCCCCCAGATTCGAATGGCAGCTGTGGTGAAGGGCAGGGGAAGAAGGCTGAAATGTGAGCAGAGTTTGGGGAGCAGAGAGACTACCTTTATTCAGTTTCAAGGCAGAAATTAATTCCCTCCTGTCCTCTCGCCCACTTTGGTCCCTTGCAGTCACTGGCCAGGAAGCTTTCTGAGAGTCCTGATGATGGGTCAGCCTGGGCTCCAGGCAGGTGTTGGTCATAGCATTTGAGCAGGGCCAGGGGGTTAGTGGGGGAGGGCTTTTTGGGGGGCAGGCTGGTGGGGCTCAGAGCTTTCAAGATTGGACCAGGCCCTCTTCTCTCGGGGGATGGAAGATGTAGGGAAAGCTCACACCCTTCAGCCTTCTGTGCATAAAGGTGCATGGGGTCTCTGCTGCCCCCTGGTGGGGCAGTGGGAGCAGCTGGCACTGTCCCTCCTTGGCCACTCCCAGACTCAGAACTTACCAGCATCTCTTTTTTGCTGTGCTCTGCCTGCCACTGCCTTGCAGATTCTGAGGTGCCTGCAAGCAGGGAGCTGCTTCTCGGGTGCTAGGCCATGATGTCATCGTGTCCCCTCATCTCTGATTCCAGGAGTTCTGTCTCTTTGCTGTTGTGGGCCTGGTGTCAGACTTCTTCCTTCAGATGCTGTTTTTCACCACTGTCCTGTCCATTGACATTCGCCGAATGGAGGTAGGAGTGGGCTGTGCCTTGCCCCACCAGCCTCCCCCCTGGCCCTCGCCATGCTCAGGGCTTGGGGAGAGAGCAGTGCGGGCTTTGGTCAGGGGCAGTCCCCCGCCTCCTGTGCAGCCTTGAGCCCTGACTACCGTGCTCCCAACAGCTAGCAGACCTGAACAAGCGGTTGCCCTCTGAGGCCTGCCTGCCCCCAGCAAAGCCAGTGGGGCGGCCGGCACGCTTTGAGCGTCAGCTGGCTGTGCGGCCGTCCACACCCCACACCATCACACTGCAACCGTCGTCCTTCCGAAACCTGCGGCTCCCGAAGAGGCTGCGTGTCATCTACTTCCTGGCCCGCACTCGCCTGGCACAGCGCCTTATCATGGTACCTGCCACCCCTGCCCTGCCCTTCGAGGGCCAGCACTCAGTTCCCTCCAGACTCTTGCACTTTGCCTTGGAGGTGGGGGTGCTCCTTAGGCCATCATGGCCCCATGAAGCCTGACTTTGGGAGGCTGCCCACCGTACCTTCCTGGCCAGACCCTGGTGGCTTCTGAGGTGAAGCCTATCTCTGGGAGAAGCAGCCCCGGGGGCATCAGGTAGAAGAGTCCTCATCTCCCAAGAGGGACCCAGGACAGGAGCCTGGTAGACAGGGCGGAACCACCATGGTTGGAACTACCATGGTTCCCTGAGCAGGGTTTCCCTGCTACATAGTGCGCAGGCATCAGAAAATTCTGGCCCAAATAATTCACTGGCTGGACTGGGGAGCGGCAGAGGAGCAGGGCTGGCCGTTGGCCAGCCGTGGTGCCCCCATGGAGCTACAGTGAGAGGGAGCAGGACTGAGGTCCTCTGAGGATGGGCGCACCCATAAGTGTCTCTGGAACAGGTCAGCCAGCCCGTCCTTCTTGCTGTGCTGACCATGGGAATGGTGGCCACTTTTTGATATGGGGGTTGGGGAAGTTCTGAGGATGCTCTTTGTATTTCTAGGCCAGGAAACCCAAACTGTGACCGTGGAAAGGGAACTAGGTCCCTTTAATGGCAGTTGGCCCAGGTGGTAGTGAAAGGACATGACCAGGCAGAAGGGAAGACAGATTGGGGCCTGTGTCCTCTCCCCATCCCCAGACGTGAGGTCCCTGTGCTGCTGCTTCCTGGCACGACGGCCAATGCTGCCGGGGCTCGGGGCCACCCAGAGGCCACACTAAGCACCCACTGCCCCCTGTAGGCTGGCACGGTTGTCTGGATCGGCATCCTGGTGTACACGGACCCGGCAGGGCTGCGTACCTACCTTGCCGCGCAGGTGACAGAACAGAGCCCGCTGGGCGAGGGCGCCCTGACTCCCATGCCCGTGCCTAGCGGCGTGCTGCCTGCCAGCCACCCGGACCCTGCCTTCTCCATCTTCCCTGCTGATGCCCCTAAGTTGTCCGAGAACCAGACGTTGCTGGGAGAGCCACCCGAGCCTGGGGGTCCAGCAGAGGGCGCCCAGGACAGCCCAGTGCCAGAGGTAACCTGGGGGCCTGAGGATGAGGAACTTTGGAGGAAACTCTCCTTCCGCCACTGGCCTACGCTCTTCAGCTACTACAACATCACCCTGGCCAAGAGGTGAGCTGGGCTGTGCCAGGTGCCACCTCCCCACTCGGTGTCAGCTCACCCGCTCCAGAGGGGGAGACCCACTGGTTTGAATTCTGCATTTCCTTTCAGAAAAACAGCATAGGGTTGTGAGGTAGGAACTAGGGCTCAAGTCAGCAGCATTGCGCTGTGCTCCAGGGAGTCCCAGGCCGCTGCCAGCCCCTGGGCTGGAATGAGATCGACTCGCGCGGGCCTTCCCCCGCTCTGTGCCACGATGGGTGGTGGGGGTGGCCGGCATTCGGTGGCGGCAGTATGGGTACTGCTGCCTGTACCAGAGCAGGGTTGGGTGCCCTGAGCTGGGCCGGGAGGGAAGGGCTCTGTACCGCCCCCACCCACCCAAGACCGTCCCCAGAGGGTGGGCTTGGAGTCCCGCAGGTTGAGCCAGTCTGCCTGGCAAGCGGGGAAGGCCCTTCTGAAGGCACCCTGCCGACCGCGCCCCCCTCCCCCGCCCTCCCCCAGGTACATCAGCCTGCTGCCCGTCATCCCGGTCACGCTGCGCCTCAACCCCAGGGAGGCCCTGGAGGGGCGGCACCCTCAGGACGGCCGCAGCGCTTGGCCCCCGCGGCGGCCCGGGCTGGGTGGGCCCTGGGAGGCCGGTCCCAGGGCGCCGGGGACGGCGCAGGCCCACGGCGACGTCACCCTGTACAAGCAAGGTCTGGCAGGTCATGGGTGGTCGGCGGGGCTGGAGCGGCGCCTAATCCACGCTCCCCACCCGAAGAGGGTGAGTGGCGCCTGCCTGTGCAGGCCTGGTGCATGGCGGTACAGTTGCTGCTCTGCTCTCTATCGGTTGTTGCTCTGTCTCACAAGAATTCACGGGAAACTGGCAGCTGGGGCCCGCTGGCGCGGGCGCGGAGCTGCCCTGCGACGACCACGCTACCGCCACAGCTGGAGAGACGGAGATCGCGGTGTTTGCCAGTGCTGGCACTCATGGTGAGCGCTGCGGGCCGGGGGGCGGGGCGGGCTCAGGAGTTAGCGGCCGGGGCGGGCCGGGCCAGGCGGCTCCATGCTCATTTGCCCGGCCCCGCGAGGACATCACCGTCTGGCCAGCGACGGCATGCTGCTGGTGAGCTGCTGCTTACCATGGGCTACCACGCCAGGTGGACGCGACTGGACTGCTCATCGCCAAGAGATCCTGCTGCCTGGGGTAGGTGTCTGCCCCACCTGCGTTCCCACCCGCGGCCCCACCTCTCCTCCCATTGCCTGTCTGCCACCCCTTCCGCCTCACTGTCCTCCTGCCCTGACAGTGCAGGCAGCGCCGCGACAGTGGCGTTGGCAGCGCGTTCGAGGCTCAGGAGAGCTGGGAACGGCTGTCCGACAGCGGGAAGGGGGGCCCGGAGGAGCCGGGGGACAGCCCTCCTCTGCGGCACCGCCCCCGGGGCCCTCCACCGCCCGCCCTCTTCGGGGACCAGCCAGACCTCACCTGCCTGATCGACACCAACTTTTCGGCGCAGCCTAGGCTCTTGGAACCCGCGCAGCCCGAACCCCGGCACCGGGCCGGCTGCAGCCGTGCTCGTGACGGCCCGGGCTATGACTTCAGCCGCCTGGTGCAGCGCGTGTACCAGGAGGATGGCTTGGCGCCGGGGCCCGCGCCAGCCCTGCGCCCGCCCTCCCCTGGGCCCGGGCCGCCCCTGACCCCTGAGGAGGACGGGGTCTGTCCTCCTGAGAAGGGCTCCCCGTCCCTGGCCTGGGCTCCCAGCGCAGACGGCTCCATCTGGAGCTTGGAGCTGCAGGGCAGCCTTATCGTGGTGGGGCGGAGCAGCGGCCGCCTGGAGGTGGGCAGGGACCCCGGGAGTGGGCAGAGGGCAGTCCCCACGCGGCTTTGAGGGCCTCCCCGGCCCACAGGTGCTCACCGCCTCTGGGCCTGCAGGTGTGGGACGCCATCGAGGGCACGCTGTGCTGCAGCAGTGAGGAGGTGTCCTCGGGTATCACTGCCCTCGTCTTCCTAGACAAGAGGTGAGAGCACTGGGCTGCTTGCCCTGTCCCTAGATGTTCCCTTCCTCGTCCCTTCCCGGTACTCAGCCCCACATCTGTGAACAGGGGGTAAACCACACAGTGGGAGGTGACCACTAAAGCCCTCAGAATAGGCCCTTGACCACTGTGACAGCATGCAAGAGGGAAACCACAGAGTTTTCTTTCCCCCATTAGCCTATCACTGCTGACCTGATCCGGTCTTGGCTGCATTTTCAGTGGCAGAAAAATGCTTTTTCAGCAGAATTTTTGTGTGAAAACTTCCCTTCCTGGTTGGTGCTGGACACCTCCCTCGCCTCCTTCCTTGGCATGCCTGTTGGCTGTGGGTGCTCCCTGGACTCCACCTGCTCACACTGCCTGTGGGCCCGGCCACCAGAGCTTTTGCTCCCTGTTCTGGGCTGATAAACCCAGGTCTCGCTGCGACCAGATGCCTCCTCAGCACTTCACCTGTCCGTCCGTGCTGGCCCTGCCCTCCGGGGTCCCTGATATCTAAGCTAGAGCCTTTTTCTTCTCGGGGCCAGGGTACCCATTGCCCTTAGCGCTCAGGTTCTGGTGGGTGCTGTTGTTATTTTTGCCCCGTTAGGCTGTGCTTGCAAAGGCCATGGCTGATACCCTCCCCTCCAGCCTGGCCAAGTTCTTTGGGTCCCTTCACACTTGTAAATTCTTCCCCGCTGTTTGTTTCATCAGGTTTAGGGAAGGCCCCCAGGTCTCGGCTGAGCCCCCTCTGACACGATACTTTTGCAGGCTTTGGCTCAGGCCCTTCAAAGTCAGGGCTTGTAGGCCGTTTGCTGGAGTAAGATTTAATTTTTTTTTTTACTTTTTTTTTTTTTTAAGTTTATTTTTGAGAGCGACAGAGACCCAGAGCTCGAGCAGGGGAGGGGCAGAGAGAGAGGGAGACAGAATCTGAAGGAGGCTCCAGACTCTGAGCTGTCAGCATGGGGCTCAGACGCTCAACCAAGTGAGCCACCCCTATTTTGTTTTTTAAAAATTTTTAATATTTATTTTTGAGAGACAGCAAATAGGGGAGGGGCAGAGGGAGAGGCTGACAGAGAACCCGATGAAGGAGCTCCAACCCACAAACCAGGAGATCATGCATGACCTGAGCCAAAGTCATGCTCAACCAACTGAGCAAGATTTTTTTTTTTTTTTTAATGTTTTTATTTTTGAGACAGAGCATGAGCAGGGGAGGGGCAGAGAGATGGGGAGACACAGAATCCGAAGCAGGCTCCAGGCTCTGAGCTGTCAGCACAGAGCTCGATGCGGGGCTTGAACTCACTAGCTGTGAGATCGTGACCTGAGCTGAAGTCGGACGCTCCACCAACTAAGATTTTAAACTCCTGGAGTTTAAAATCCAACCCCTGGAGTAAGATTTTAAACTCCATTCACTTTGAGGTTTTGGGGCCACTGGGCAAATGCCCCCACCTCTGCTTAGGAATTCCTGGGCTGTGAAGAAAATCTTTTCTTTGTGAAAAAGGACGTAGAGTGGGTGGTACTTGGACTGAAGCTGCTTTAAGAGGGGACGCCCAACAGTACCTCCTGTGGCTCCGACACACAGCCTCTCCTTGGGGCTGATTTCCCCTCAGAAGCCCCTCCGTGAGCTCCAGGCCATGGAGGGGAACCCCACCCAGCATGTGCTTGTTTTTTTAACTTCTGGTCTCACATGATGTTCTCCAGGTACCACCTCACACACTATCCCTCGTGACTACCCTGTAAGGTGGGCAGTTGTCCCCATTTCACAGATGAAGAAACTGAGACACAGAACAGAACTGTAACCTGGGTCCCTCGACTTCAGCATGTTCCCCAGCCCCTGCACTTGCCTCTTGGTCATGGTCCCTACGTCTGGTGGAGTTGACCTGGCGGGTGCCCACAGTGCTCGGCCCCGGGCCTGGGCGTTCTGAGGGAGAGCCATCAGCAGCCACTCTTTTCCAGGATCGTGGCTGCCCGGCTCAACGGTTCCCTCGATTTCTTCTCCTTGGAGACCGGCACTGCCCTCAGCCCCCTGCAGTTCCGAGGTCAGAGGGCCCAGGCTGGGTGGCTGAGTGCGTGCACCTGGCGGGCGGAGTGTGGTGGCTGCCTGCACGGTGTCTTCTTGGAGATCCCTGACTGGGCCTCTCGTCCCCAGGGCGGAGCAGTTCCCCCGCATCCCCTGTGTACAGCAGCAGTGACACGGTAACGTGTCGCCTGACCCACACCGTGCCCTGTGCACACCAGAAACCCATCACGGCCCTGAAGGCGGCAGCTGGGCGCCTCGTGACTGGGAGTCAAGACCACACGCTGAGAGTGAGTCGGCTCCATCTCTTGGGTGCTGGGTGGCCTGCCACAGGTGATGGGGGGCATCCGGGGGTCAGCCAGGGAGGGGATGCAGGAGGGACTTCCTGGCCCACATGTAATTGGGAAAACGCCAGAGGTCAGAACCTGATGCCCGTCCCTGCCCCAGGTGTTCCGTCTGGAGGACTCGTGTTGCCTCTTCACCCTGCAGGGCCACTCGGGGGCCATCACAACTGTGTACATTGATCAGGTGAGGGGGCCCTGTGTGGGGTGCAGGGATGCCAAGCCATGGGTTTTGTTTCTGACTCTCAGCAGCTGGCTCTCAGAACCTTCTGGGAAGCAGTGAGGATCCCTACTCCCAGGGCACCGGGACACCCTTGGGTCCAAAGGTGTTCCACCGGTGACCCGGCTCCCTTGGGCCTATTCCTTTAGACCATGGTGCTGGCCAGTGGAGGACAAGATGGGGCCATCTGCCTGTGGGATGTACTGACTGGCAGCCGGGTCAGCCACATGTTCGCTCACCGTGGGGATGTCACCTCCCTCACCTGCACCACCTCCTGCGTCATCAGTAGTGGTCTGGATGACCTCATCAGCATCTGGGACCGTAGCACAGGCATCAAGCTCTATTCCATTCAGCAGGTGGGCACATTGGGGGCCACAGAACTGTTGGTATTGTAGAGAGGGATTCAAGACACTAAGTTATCCTGTCTTTGCCTCTAGGACCTGGGCTGTGGAGCAAGCTTGGGTGTCATCTCTGACAACTTGCTGGTGACTGGCGGCCAGGGCTGTGTCTCCTTTTGGGACCTAAACTACGGGGACCTGTTACAGACTGTCTACCTGGGGAAGAACAGTGAGGCCCAGCCCACCCGCCAGATCCTGGTGCTGGACAATGCCGCCATCGTCTGCAACTTTGGCAGCGAGCTCAGTCTGGTATATGTACCCTCCGTGCTGGAGAAGCTGGACTGAGGGGGGGGGGCAGGAGCTGCGGTGCAGAGTCTTCTGGAAGCTGCCTCTAGAACTGTTCTGCCTCGTTGACTGTACTATTAAAGGTTTTTTTGGTTTTTTTTTTTTTTTAATCCCATCTGTCACGGGCCTTTCAAACCACTTGCATCTTCCCCTCGAACTGCTCCATCATTTCTGCGTGCCCTCCGTGTGCCTGAACCCCAGCACTTAGTCACATGCCTCTGAGAGCTGCTCCAGGCAGGAGCTGTACACGACTGTAAAGGGGCGGTTACAGGAGCAGTCCAGCAAGCCAGTGCTAAAGGCCTTCTTTCTTAACCTTTCCGAGGTGGGGAGACCCCACTGTCGTCCTCCTACCTGTCCACGTCCAAGCTTGCTAAGAGGTTCCGGCTCCCTCCCTAAGGCAGCAGTGGGCAGACACCGGCCACAGAACGGGTTGGTTGATTACTTTAATAGCAAAGAGCTGAAAAATGTCAGGTCCCACAAAGGAGAACTTGACCCAAGGGCCGCGATACGTCTCAACCCCACAGGGGTGTGGGCTGGGCCAGGTAGGGCTGAAGGCAGTGGGAATGGGAGTGCGAGGCCAGGCCCACCTGAGAGGCCCTGCTAGGCATGGGCAGACCGGCGTGGGAGATGATGTGGAGGAAAAACCGGGTAGGCAAAGCCTGTTCAGGTCTTGTTGAGCGTCCAGAGCGGATCCAGAAGGCTAAGGGGGTCATCGGTGGGCCTGGCAGCACGCAGACCCTGCCCATTATGGGCCTGCAGAAAGTTCTGCTTGCTCATCCGCTGCTTTCCTCGCAAGGAGCTGTCCAGGGAGAAGGCCTCCGGAGTTAGGGAGGCCAACAGCTCCAGGGAGGAAGAGGGGGGCCCCAGGCTGGGAGGCGCAGGTGCTGGCTGTTCCTCCTCAGGCTGGGGGACCTCGGGCAGCGGTGAAGAGAGAGGGGGTGGGGGGGAGGAGGAGGGGAGCTGGGCAGACTCCGGGAGGCTGGCTGGCGGCAGGCCTGGGGGCTCTACAGGGGCAGGGAGGCCGGCAGCCGGAGAATCCAGGCCCCCAGCAGGCCGAATGCTGAGCTTGGCAATGGTGGCCTGGATGGAGCTGATGGGCACGTCTCCACCGAGAACCAGGTCCTGGGAGTCCTGAGGAAGGTGATTCTGTGGAGACAGAAGCACGTGAAAACGAGTCCACGGGGCTGTGGCCGGCCCAGCCGCCCCCAGGGGCACCTTCCTCACCTTCTGACTGCTGCCTGTGCCGGCCGGAGCCCTGCCCGGAGGGGGCACACCGTGGCGCTGCAGCACTTGCTCCACGTGTCTCACCACCGCCTCGTGGCAGAACCTGAGGTGCAGCTGCAGCGGTGCCCCCGGCCCGGTCAGCTAGGCGGGGCCTCGTCACCCCCGGGGCAGGCCCCCCGCCCCGTCCAGCGCCCACCGGCCCAGCCCCTTACTTTCTCCTGCAGCATGTGTTTCCTCTGCTGCCGCATGCGCCGCACCAGCCGGGGCAGCTCGGGGATCCCATTTCCGGCCTCTACCTCCTGCACAGCCGCGTAGAGCAGCGCAAAGGCCCCGGTCCGGCCCACCCCGGAGCTGCAGCGGGAAGGGGGCGTGAGGCCGGGGCCGGAGTCCCCCGCGGGCAAGTGCCCGCTCCCCGCTCCGTGCCTTACCTGCAGTGCACGATGACCGGCGTGTGCAGGGGCCGCTGATGCAGGTAGTGCGCGTGCACCTCCTGGATGAAGCGCAGCAAGTTGCTGGGGCTGTCGGGCAGGCCTCTGCGGGGGTGGGGGCAGGACCCGTGAGCCGGAGGGGGACCCCATCCGACGCCCCGACCGTCCCCACCCCGGGGCAGCAGACGCACAACTCGGGCCACGTGGGGAAGTGGAGGTGCACGAGCGAGCGCTTGAGGCTCTGGTCGCGGAACTGCAGGCTCAGCACGCGCTCCACGTGGGTCTCGGTGGCGCGGACGCTGCTCAGCGCCAGGCTCAGGGCACCGTGCACCATGGGCTGGCCCCTCTCAGTGGGGAAATAGCGTGCCACCTTTTGCTGAGAGAAAACAGATGAGGCAGTTAGGGCTCTTTGCAGGGTCCTTCTTGGGCACCCCCCGCCCCTTCTTACCTTCTCCGGCACCCCTCCCTCCCCCCTTACCTTCTCCATCTCAGCCTCAGACACCAGCATGACAATGACTGACACCTTCTGCTCGTGCACCATGAGCCAGAAGTCAGCGGCTGTGCCGGGCAGTGGTGCCTGGGTGGCCACCAAGGGCGGGCAGTACGGCGAGAGCCCCTCCACGCGGCTGGCGTTGATGTAGTCATCCTTGCCCGAGCGCAGCACCACGCGGTTACTGTCGTAGGGCATGACGTCCTGGTGCCGGTTCTTCAGCGAGTAGCAGCGCGCGATGGCAATGGACCGGCCCCGGGCGTCCTGTTCCTGTGCTTCCTGCAGCTCTCGCCACACGGCGTCCAGAGCCCCTGCGTCGCCCAGCTGGCCCCTGAAGGCCTCCAGCTCCTGCTGCAACTGCTGCAGCCTCTCGGGGCGCTCGTAGGGGTCCCGCTCAATCAGCCGCAGGGCCTGTGGCCGGCGGCCCTCAGCCGCGTCCACCTTCGTAGGCTGCAGCAGGGGCTGCCCACCCCCGGGGGGCTGTGCGCCCCCGTGCTGACTCTCAGGGCTGGAGGAGAGCAGGTCCGCGGTCGCGGTGCCCCGGCGCGCGCACGGGGGCGGCTCTGCTGCGGGGGGCTGAGGAGGTACTGGGCCAGGCCCCGGTGATGGGGCCGGAGAAGGCACCAGGTGGGGGTTGGGCGGGGGCTGGCCAGCAGGTGAGGGACCTCGAATGGAGAGAGGGGCTGCCTGGGGGCCCAGAGGCCGGGAGGAAGGGGCAGGACCATATGCCAAGGTGGGATGGGGAGACTGAGGTGGCCCAGGGCTGGGGAAGGGCAGAGCCCCTGAATGGGGGGGCAGAGGGTCCTGAGAGGGGCCCGGGTAGAGCTGTGTGTGCAGGGGCGGCGTTGGCTGTCCCAGGACACCAGGCTGAGGGGTAAAGGGATAGGGAGGCTGGGGGGGCTGGGGGGGCTGGGAGGGCTGGAGGGGTACCCGCCCTGGAGCCTGGGGTGGGAAGAGGTTCGGATGCTGGAGTGGAAGGGGCTGCTGGGGGGGCTGGGGCCCAAATGCTACTCCTGTGGGATGAGGCTGGGGCCCCACCCTCGGGGCTGGAAAACCTGGGGGAATCCCAGGAGGAAAGTGGTGCTGGGCAGGGGGAGCTGTGAGGGGTTGCTTGGTCCCCAGAGGGTAGGTGTAGGGTGCAGGGAGCAGTTGTGGCTGCGGTGGGGACACCGGGAAGCAGGGCTGGGGAGGAGCAGGGCTAGGGTTTGGCCGTGGTGCCGTGTGGCTGGAGATGGGGGCCTGGATGCTATCTACCGTGGTGGTGGCTGGCCGAACCCCCATGGCCAACTCGGGGCCCGAAAACTGGGGAGGTGGGGCTGAGGGTAGACCTGCCACCGGTGGGGGTGGCCCTACCCCTGCATAGGGGCCGCTCACCACGCCGTGCTGTGGGGAGGATCGGGGCACGAGGCCCAGCTCCGGTGTGTAGGCAGGGGCCGGGTAGAGGGCAGGTCCGGGGGCCATGGCCACTGCAGGGTGTCCTGGGGCCTGGGGGACCCTGGGTGGCAATACCTGGGTGTGGCCCGAGTAGGCACCAGGAGGTAAGGGTCCTGAGAGATAGTGGGGTCCCGGGCCTGCAACACTGGGGAAGGGGCCGGGAGGAAAGTGGAGAGGGGCGGCGGCTCCCAAGTAGGTGTCGGGTGGCCGTGGGCCGGCCACCATGTCTGGAGGCAGGCTGCGCAGCTCTTCAGGCAGGTCTCCTGTCTCTACCACCTCTCCTTCCTCCCTCCGGGGCAGCAGCGGCTTCGGGGCGGTGGGCCGTGGGGGTGGCTTCTTCTTCAGCTCCCTGCAGAACGAGGTGAGGAAGTCATGGAGCCAGACCCCTCCCTGTCGGCCTAGCCTGGGGTGTGGGGCCGCACTCACCTGTCCAGGAGCTGCTGGCGGGCAGCCTCTCGGGCCTGGCAGGTGGACTGGGCCCGTTCCAAGAGGGCAGCCACCTTGCTCTCCAGGTCGGCATAGAAGTCCTTGCCCTCCTGGGACTTTTTCATCAGGTCCTCATAGGCTTCACAGGAGGCCACCAGGGTCTGCAGTGTGGACTTCCACCTGGGGGGCAGAAGGGCCAGCACGAGGTGAGCAGCTTAGGCCGCGCTCTGGGCGGGAGGCTGGGCAAGAAAAAGCAGGGGGCCAGACACTGACTTTTGGTCCAGGTCACTAAGCACCCGCCGCACGGCCGCATACTGCACATTGGCCTCTGTCAGTGCCCGCAGGACGTTGTCCTGGGCCGCCAGGTTCTGCTCCAGGTACACCCTCAGCTGGTCATACTTCTTCAGCTGCTCCTCGAACAGCTTCTGCGGGAAGGAGGCGGAGGACAGACACTCAGGGCCTCGCCGCTTACAGGTGGAGCCCAGAGACACTCCCCCCTGCTCACCCACCCACCTTTATCTCCGAGTGGTCCGTGGTCACCAGTGACGCGGTGATGTCATCCTTCTGGATAAGCTCACGCAGCTGCTGCTCCAGGGACACGCGCTGGTCCCGCATCTCCTGCACCTTGGCCAGGATGCGCTTCAGATTCTGCAGCACGGCCTTGTCCTCTGGGAGCAGCAGTGGTTGTGAGACTGGAGCCTCCAGCCCTGCCTCCCTTGCCCTGGGGAGGGGAGGGACTCACCTGGGGTGAGGGCTGGCGTGGGCAGGGCAGCCCGGACCTGGTCCAGCGGCCCGCTGAGCAGGCGCAGGTTACCGACGTGCAGATTCATGGCGCGGTGCAGCTCGCTGTTGGTGAAGGAGGCCTTCTCGTGGACCTCCATGTACTTGGCCCAGTCTCGCCTCACCTCGGCCAGCTCTGCCTTGGAGCCGGCTCCTCCCGCCAGGCTGGCCCCGGCCTGGCCCAGGGTCTCCTGCAACTTCTGCTCAAGCAGCTCATC